CCTAACCATATCATATCCACACATCACAGGACATAAATCTTTTACCTTCAGAGTGTATTTCTGTTTTGAGTTGGACGGAGACACAATCACCCAGATGGTCACAATCAGCCTCCCTGGAGAGAGAGGTGATGCATAGGGTTAGGGTACAGTGAGACAGGTACAGTGAGACAGGTACAGTGAGACAGGTACAGTGAGACAGGTACAGTGAGACAGGTACAGTGAGACAGATACAGTGAGACAGGTACAGAGAAAGTCAGACAGGGTTAGATGGTTAGTATTAGACATGTTTGGGTTAGAGGTTAAGTTTAACCATGTGACCATTTACGTGTGAGCAGCTCTGTACATGAAGCTGTATCTCACTTCGGGCTCCGCCTCTTTCAAAGGTTGCATTTAAAGACCAAGTATATCACAGCCTAGACGGTCCCATTTCAAAGACTCCTGCAAATGTGTCCTTTCATTCCCAAGTAACCCCTTCAGACCAATTATCCCAGGATTCATTGCATCGGTAATGAAACAGAGCAGAAGTGCAGCCACTCAAAGTAATTAACAATGCGACAGAGGAGTGAGAGCCAGTGATGCAAAAAGGAAAATCCTTAGAAGGCTCATTTCAGTTCAGTATTCCTTGTCTCCTCGGCCCAGGAGGCGACGTCTGAAGGCGGCAGCACCTGATTCGGACACAGCCTGAGTGAGGTCACAGTTTCCTTTAGAGTGTCAGTACCTTTGTCCAGTTTACTGTAGATGTGCTGTGGGAGTTGGGGGCTGGACTCCACGTTGGGGGGATAAACATAGAGTGCCTGGCTGTGGGCCCCGCCCCCCTCCCGCTCCTCCATGGCCTCTCTGCACACGCTCAGTATGGAGCGCCGGAAGTCCTGAATCTCCGGGTCCTTCATCATCTCGAACTCGCAGACGGGCATCCCAATGGCAAATCCTGCACACAGGAAAGCTGTTTTTGTGTGTGTGTGTTGGAATTGAACATTTTGATTTGGTTTCTAGATTAAAATTGAAAAACTTCCACAATGTGCTGATCATATCAGAGCGGCAGCATGTTGACGACACACATCAAACCACAGCAAGTAGTCACCCTAGACTGAGTCTGTAGAGTGAGGGGTCAGGGCTGCACAGAGTGATGAACATAAAGGGTTTTAAAACTCGACTATTTATTCAAGACTCGAGCCCAACAAAACTTTTGAGATGATATTCGGGTTCAGTTGGTGACTCGACTTGATTTAAGGCTATTGTCTAACTATGAATTAGCAAAGGGACAATATTTTGGGACTTCAGGTGTAGATGAACCAACACTTGTCTTTCTCTCTCCGCATGGACAGTGAGGGCGGCCGTGGCTCAGTGGTAGAGCAGGTCGTCCAATAACCAGAAGGTTGGCGTTTCGATACCCGCTCCCGCTCGCCACGACCATGCCTTCCTTGAGGAAGGCACGCCCCCCCAACATCTGCTCCCCGGGCGCTGGCAACAGCAGCCCACTGCTCCAGTATACATGTAAAACCATTCTGCTCAGATATGATCGGTCAAACTAGAAAGAAAAATAGAAGCTTTCCGCCCCAAGATCTTGTTAGATTTCTCTCGAGCTTGGACGGGTTCACTATTCTCCAAATGGTTAAGAGTGGGGTTGGGTGGGGGTGTCAGCATTAACAACTCGCCCTTTTTTGGTATCTGATTGATCCTCTTCACGCTAGCTGCTTTCAAACATGCACTAAACTTCAGAAATTCTCTGCAGTTTCTCTGAAGGAGGTGCATGTGCGTTAGGGTTAGACTTTCTCCACCTGGCCTCCTGGTGTAAAATCTGCAGAGAATCCAGTGTTTCTAACACACAATACTGAGAAAACCCACAAATAAATATCTTTGGATGAAAAAGAGGAGCCACACATGGAGAAATCACTCTGCTACTCCACCTCTCACCTGAATCCTGCAGAGGATTGTTGCTGTTGTGTGAAAGTCCAGACCCGATTCTCCCGAGATCCTCAGGATGTGTGAGAACAGCTTCTGATTGGGCCACACTGGAACCTGATTGGGCCTTTGCAGCCATTTGAACTAAATTACTTTTTTCTCTTTGGTCTAACATCAGTGATTTTTTGTGGTTAGAGTCGGTGACTGTTTTGCCGACGTTGAGGTGACGACCAATAGCAGGCCTTTACAACAGGGGATGACACATCGAAGGAGGTGTGTCTTACCTATCTCTCGGTTCAGGATCTTTTCCTCCCGGTTTCCCAGCGGTTCGATGACCTTCAGGATCGGGTGAAAGAGTCGGAGGTCGCACAGCCGCCTCATTTCATCATAGAACTCCTCCCTCTCTGCCTCCTGGGTCACGCCCACAAAAATGTAATAAGACTCCTCCTGGCCAATCAGAGAGCAGAGATTATATCACTGTTTACTGGTTGAGAGGTGGGGTCAAAGGTCAGAGGGTACCTGCAGTAGGTGGTACAGTGGATATTTCCTGGCCTCAGTGAAAAGCTGCTGCTTGATGCTGATGAGCGGAGTTTCTCTGAGACACTCAAGACTCACCATCATCCCTGAGACAGACAAACCACAAAAGAAGAGGACATAACAAATCCAC